CTCTTAAGCACATTTGCATCAGAAGTACTTGCACTCCATCATATGTCTCAGCAAGCTTCTGAGAAAGGCTGCGCTTCTCAACCGATAATAACACTATACTTGGTAGGTGATTCCTAGTTAAATTGGCCGCAGTCTAGGGTCCCTGACCAAAGAATTTTACTCTCACCCAAAATCATGTTCTCTAGTTATCGACAGAGATGATGGTGCTCGATCCCAACTCTTGCCAAACAATAACCACCTACTGATGACGATATTCAATTGTCTGGTGTTGCTTGCTGCGCTGGGTGGAATACATACATGCGTTTGTGTGTATGCTGTCTGCTCACACCAGCAGAGAAACGAACGCCGGTCAGTCGCTCAGCAAGCTCTTTTATTTCCACAGGCTCTCATCCATTTGAAGTACCGCCCGCGGTAGCGGTTCCGAAAATTTATAATCTTTATGAGCGTTTACCTAGGGTATTGGAATTTACTAAGAGTGCTGATACGGACCGTACTCGATTTGCGCACCAAGTGAGGAATTCGCACCCTTTCATGTGCCTTAAGTTTTAACCAGCCAGCTTCAGTGAAGCAAACGTGGGATTGAAATCCACCGGAATCAACTACATACAGCCCCACTCGTTCCAGATGTCATAGCTCCCGAAGTAGTAACGGGGTCACACGTACCTTTGTATGAAAGGGCGGGTCACACAAGATGGTGTGACTGTTCATAGGTGAGGATCACACAAGTTGGTGTAATCACACAATGTTGTGGCCACACCGTAACAAAGAGCCACTACGTGGCAGGACTGCCAGTAGTCATGCATATTAGTCGGGTAATACTATATTAATTTAGAGAACCTAAGGTTTTGCCGCATCTTAAACAATTAAATACAGTTTCAATTTTACACGGAAGAGTTTTTTACCTTGATCAAATTTTAAGTACTCATGGAGGTAGCGAATTGCGATTCGCTACACTCGTACTAGTGCTTGTAAAGAATGTAAGGTCGGTGATCTTAGCTTAGCTTCCTTTAAGCAAAGAGCTACGCCACTTCCGCTGCAGAAGATGCGATAATCTAACAACAAAGTCGGTTCCCACCCACACTTACCTATGGAAAAGCAAGCTGGATGAACAACCCTACCTCTGATCTTAAAGAAAATTAAGGCCGAGGGTGTGATAGGTGAAAGCGGCCGCCAGGATTTGCGACATCTAGCAAGATGTGATGTTGCTCTATCCGGATCATAGCCAATTTACGTTCATTTAAACTTTATCACCCAGAGATAGATTTCTCATTCCTGCCTTCAAATTTTTGGACGTGCAAATCAGCGGTTACAGGATGCGAGTCGGTTGTGCTTTCTATAACGTCCGGCTAAGACGTTCTTAGAAATATCTCTTCAGCGCATTCTCATAGCTTGCGAAGTTCTTGAACGAGCGATTGTCGCTTCAGTTAATCGAGTGTCCAGCTGCCTGGATCCAATGAGACATGATCTGAATAAACGTGCAGCGGGGCTGCCGTAGCTTAGCGCTTGAGGAAGCGTAATTTAGGTCACCAAGTTTTCGTTCTATACTTAGAACAAGTACGAGTTAGCGAATAGCAATCCGCTTACTCCAAGAGCAATTATTGCCTTACCCAAGGCTAATTAGCTCTTCCGTTTCAAATCCAAAAATGATTTTTATTTATTTAAATCTGCGGCAAAGCCGCCTTATTATAAAATTTTAGATCTTCCTAAATATACTAAATAT